GAACTTTTAGAACTCGCCGAGTCCGACTGATTCTCAATTGCGTTAGGCTTCGCCGACTGTGACGGTGTATTCGAGAGATGCGTGGTGGATTTCGTAGTAGCTATCACTACAACACTATCACTTTGACTTTGAAGTTTTTCTTCCGGCAGTGTTGGTATATCGACATTATTAGCAGATTGTACAGGATCAATACCTCTGCTACATGTATACAAATCAGGCGTATACAACATGGGTCTTGTTTCTGTGTTTTCAAATTCCATGGAATTATTAATATCACTTTCGCTCACAGATCGTTGAGAGGACAACTTAGGATGATGAATGCTTAGTAGTCCTGGTTATTTGGTTGTACTTGTATCTCCCTGAAGCTGTTGTATTTGGTTCACTTCTTGTTCTCTGAGCATTTTTAAATACAAGTCTTGTTGTCTAAGTTTAGGCGTGCCCCAAATATTGTCCTCTTCTTCAGATTTGGTGTCACTATACTGAATGGTTTCCATTGAGTTAATTGGATTCGTATCATCTAATGAATAGATACTGTTAGCTCGGAAGTAGCCATTCAAAAACGCACAGGACCTTATAGAACTTGCCGAGTCCGACTGATTCTCCATCGCGTTAAGTTTCGACGACTGTGACGGTGTATGCATGAGATGCGTTATGGATTCCGTAGAATCTATCACTTCAAGACTATCACTTTGTCTGTTTTGTCTTTCTCCCAGCGGAGTTGGTAAATCGACACTGTTTGCGGGTTGTACGGCATCAATACCTCTGCTACATGTACTAAAATCAGGCGTATAAAACATGGGTCTTGTTTCTGTGTTCAGATCAGAAGATTGCTGGAACAACTCGCCAATAAAATACTTGTTAAGGCTGTCGGACATGTTTGTTTTTAATCCAGAGTAAAACTTATGGTGTGTTTCGTCGGTTTCAGAATTGCCACATAGGTTTAAAAGGGTACATTCGGGAATGTTGTTATCGAATGCATTTCCAGTGCAGACATCCCAGCTTGCTGCTAATTTATTTTTGTCTTCATTGTCGTTTGGAAAGGTCATTAAGTTCACGATTTTTGGCAGTCTATATGGAATAGAAACACAGAAAATGAATGAGCAACATACTACATAAATTATGTCTACAGAATATGTCTATCGCAGTTTAAATCATATCCAAATCCTCAATTAAATATAAGAATTCATATGCATAATTCGGAAACGAGACCTTGCATTTTTGATTATTATGAGTGTTTTAAGCATACGTTAATAAAGGTTATCATTTTTATGAAAGAAATGTAAACGTTATAAAATGTATTTCCTTTTTTAAGGAAAAAAGAGTGCTTTGGTACGTTTTGCTGAATTTGTAGATTTCTACTTTTTCAAAACTAGAACGACGGGCATACACATTAAAATTATAATACCAACAAACACATATTTGAGTTTTGGCGATCGGAAGTTTTCTTCATTCATAATCAATAAGGGATCTTCATGGAAATGAGAGTAGTTATCTTTCCTCGACTAGGAGACACATTGTATACTAAAAGGAATACCAATCACTGACTTCTTAATTACTAACTCTGTATCACTTTTTATCTAAAAACTGTTATCTATCAATTACAAATAAAACGTAATATAAAAGATAAGGCTTACAAAGAAATGCAACTTCATTGAATTTCTAAGTCAATGATTTGCATATAAAAACTAATCAATTTTGAAACACAGTTACGACATCGGTGTTATGAGAGTGATTTAATAATTGTAAAATTACGCACAACATTTCTCCGAAATATTCTTAAGTTAAAAGAATTAGAGAAGAAGAATAGTATTCCCCTTACAATCAATTTTAAGAGTCGTTTTCTGAATTATTGAATAGTAAAAAAGCAACCTATCGTACATTATATATAAAGTTGTATTGGTCGTTTGTATTAGTGATCCGTAAATTGAACTTTAACTTTTAACTTTACCACAATATATTTCATAACTTATCGGTGATGAATATCACTATACATTTGTCTTTTCCTGTACTTAAGGCATTTATTTCTGTACTATTGTGAGCGAACAGTCTCGTATGGATTCGTTGTATGTCGTTTTTTGTGGGATTTTTTATATGTTGTGTTTACTATGAGAATGAAGCGCAAGGGACACTTGTAGGAGATTTATTTTCCATTCCCTTATATAGTTCATTATATACAGTAAAACACTTTTTGAAGCACAGAAAAGATATTGAATTCGTACTCCAAAGTGAAACCCTCTTATAACTCCACATGACCTCTGAATTATTTTTCTACAGTGAACACATTGATAGCAAACCTTCTGGTGCCTATACAACTCTTTTTCCACACATACCCCTTTTTGTTTTAAATTGACTTCTTTTCAAGCACGATTTCGTACATGTAATAAGTGTGCTCAAACGAGGAGTGTCTTGTTTAACGATAACTCGCAATGGAATGCTCCAATATTCCCATAAGGTACCACACTTACAAATATGTGAACCGTTTAGAAAGGTGCGTCTTTAATGAATCCTCTGGCTTTTACTCTTACAGATTTTGTTAATTCGGTCTTTACTTATCTGAAATAGTAATATACTTTTGATTAATAAAACAATTGACATACCTGGGATTTGAGTTTCTATTTCGATGTTGTTCTTCAGTAAGTTTCTCTTGAGTTTTCAATGGTTTTCTTGGAGGACGTGGTGGTGGGTGGTTCGAAACATCATCAAGTAGGTCAGCATTGATATCCTGTACACCATCTTGTCTGGGGATAGCCATGTGTGGCGTTGTGTGGTTGAATATAATCACAAACATAAACTAATGTTCACTTCCGCCAGTTTGTCATTGTAATAAAATTTCTCCTGAAACGTCACTGCGACTTAGATATTATATTATCCTACATATAATATTAATATATATGCCAAGGAGACAATATCAGGAGAATACTACACGAATATGCGATTATAGTTTACAATTACACACAGATGTTTACACAGATGTTTACAAAGTATTAACAAGTGTTAATGATCTTACATGCTATTTGTAGCAACTATACAAACCCCTTGTCGTTAATACACAGTGTACAATGAAGTCATGTGAGATGACTCACTGCTTAATACTTACAACTTCCAGTAACGTGATCACCAGAGCATGTACACTGTTGTATAATGATATAATTCTATTGCGTAATATGTCAAAGTATAGTTTCACCTTCCTTTTTTAGTGTAGTGTTGTTGTTCTATGAAACGACACTGCGTCTTTGTTTCCGTATACATGTACATAGGACATTTCGTTAAATCTACACAAACTGCTTTAAATATTACATTTTACACAGGTCACAGTTTCACGAAAGTTCATCACATTGGAACCTTCTTCCATTAATTATGAAAAGTCCTTTTATTTACGACCAATACAGTTTTCTATGTGACGTTTCGATGACTAGTACGATATGTACCTTGCCATCTTCATCAGACAAATGACCAGTGAAGCATATGACACAAAGGTGTAAAATGTGTACGAGTTGTCCACAAAATCGATTTCGAGTTTGGCTACGTTGTAGGGACCACGGAATCAAATCAAAAAATGATTGTGGGTTTTTCCATTTTGGGCAGAAGATTTAATAGGAAGGTGAATGCCTCGGGGCCTGCTGGTTGGATATTTAGGTGGTAGAAGTTTCAAAAGTTGTATGTGTTGGTTGAGCAATATATATATACAGATGTAAAATGTATAAAAAATAAATAATTGACGCCTGCTTTTGTCTGGAGGAGTTTATTAAGTGTGTAATTTGTTGTAAATTTTGGTCAATTTTTGGTGCCGAATTCAATACAAAATGGCGGCCCCCCAAAAAAAAGTTAAAATAGGCATAATTTTTAAATATTTTATTATTTGTGTGAGATGATATTCTTCAAACTGAGGGCAGGTAAACCAGTGTGGATAACCCCGTTTAGCCATGACAGTGGTAAACGTTAACACTATCGTCTATGGAAAATCATTTGGTTCTGCGGTCCCTGTAAGCATATGTACAATCGTTGTTATATGTGTATCGAAATGACTCGATTCATCCATACTTACCAACATGAAGAAAAAGTTTAAAAAATATAGGAACCTTCTTTCACTTTAGATTTCCAGAGGAAAATATCACTGACGTTGAGGAAGTTTGTCTATATTATATATAATAAATATTATAACGTTTTCCTAAATAAATCTTCATTATAGGGGTTTCGTTATGTTAAAGAAATGTGGAAAAAATAATGCCAGTCTGCTCAATCTTTTTCCTTTCCACTGTATTGCATTAGAACGTCGTCTGAGAACAGGACTGGTTTCATAAAAGCAATAATTTTGTGCATGGTGTGATGAATTGATGTTTGTACATCATATTGTGTTGTATCAAGACACAGGTTGTCTTCTAATATAATATGTAATTCTGATATAGGTAATTCTTTTTGAAATAACGCATTAATTGATAGCTTAGGTGGCCTCTTTTCGCACATCACTATAATTGTAACAGCAGGTTCTTAATCTAAATCTTTGTATCAACCAACATGTATACAAGATACTTTGTCTTTCTTAATTTCATACGTAATACTCAAAAATACAGAAATCTGAGACCGATAAGTCCGTTTCTCATGTCCAACTCATGTCCTATCAGGGCCTAACACTTTTGTTCTCGTGGACACAAGTATGGTCGTCTGAAAGTTTCAGCCACATTCGTCCAGTCGACTGATACTAGAAATGTAAGCTAGTACATGTATTTAGAAAGAAAACAACTTAATTAATTCCAGCGAAGAAAGTTGCCTTCAAAAACTTGGTTGAATTTTAACAACTGGGGTTAGGGCTACAGGCCTATTATACATATACGGTATGTTGGAAAAGCATAATCCATGTGCAAGAGAAAGTAAGCTTTGAAAACGTTTTTATAAAGGAATTATAACAAATGATTATGTAATTTGACATATGTCCTGCTTTCTATTCTAGATCAACTAAAATTGTCTTCAGAGTCAGAAAGCATGCCGCATAGGGATGTTTTAGAAAAAAGGAAGTTATGTTACGTCACCTAATAAATTAAACGGATACTATAACATGACTGTAAACAATATCCGGATCAGCACCTGCATTCCGCACCAAAACAGATACTCAAAATGAATTTGTGGCATTGTTATCAATTGTTTGAAAATATTTTTTTAAAACTTAATATATATATATACATATTACCGAAAATGATTAATATCTGTTTCAAAAATCGTATTCCGTTTAATTGATCTAGAATAGCAAGCAGGACATATGTCAAATAACACAATCATTTTATTGTCCAGAGACCTTCATAACTATATGTTAAATTATGTTTTTAGGAATCTGTCATATTTAACAATTAAATATAAACGTTTAAATAACTAACATACGCGTATATTGGTACGGTTTTATGATGTAAGGGCATCTATATGCTTACAGTGAAGACATACGAATTAAAAACCTAACCTTTGAAGATCAATGTTAATTCGATAAAAATATAATTTTCAGATGTAATATTGTAATTATCAAGAACATTCCATAAAGTCTAGTTTTTGTTTTTCCTGTATATATATATATTAAAGTATAAGTGAAACGTTTCATAGCGATCCTCTATCTATATATAATCGACGCTGTTCATGAACATTTATATCCAACGGCGTATGTGTATAAGGAAGTATTTAATTTTCACATCTGGAATTAACGAACAACAACAGTTAAATTATTTCCCTTGTTTATTTTCCTTCATAACATATACACATATACACTGATGTAGGTTTTATGATCAAGATTATATGATTTAGTTACATGCCACTCTTTCATTAAAAATACTGTTACAACTTTCATAATGCCGATATATGTATATTTCTTACATGTTGTTTTATCAATTATCGGCTTCTTCATGATTCCATGTTTGCATCATCCAAATTCATCGCTCAGTATTAACAGTGATATCATTAGGACTTATCTCATCTGATATTTTCTTTTCAGTTTCCAGAACTGCCATCCTTTTTGGAAATATACGTTTACATTCGCTATACGTCTTTATCATACAAAAATATCCACCACGTAATCGTATTTCTAACACTGTTGATGGTATGAAACCTTGTTTCTTACAACAAGTCTACAAGATGAAGTACGTTTGAAATATACATAAAATACATATCATATACATTATCAAAATTACATATACAGTATCATTGATTTAATTTCTAAACCCAATTTCTCACCAAGATTTGGATTAATGCATTTAAGAATTGACCTTCGTTTTGACGGCGTATACGGTAATATTAACGCAGTTGGCAATGGACATATATATTATGCACGTTAGCACTCAATACAGAATATGTTCATTGCTAACTGCGTTTATACTACCGTATACGCGGTCGAAATGAAGATCAAGGGTTGCCCCGATAGTAACTACAGTAGCCGTGGTTGCTAGGACAATATGGTTCCAATGAATCCTCAACGATATATGAGTAAATTTTGAAAATACGCAGTGAACAACAGTATTTTTTCCTTTCATGTTTTTTTAAATTAAGCAATGTGAGAAGCCCTTCGACCTATTCTGTTCATTGACAATGGTCGTCATGTACGCGCAGTGACACACTGCTCATGGAGTGACGCGGTCGAATGTTTCAGAACAAAGCCGCCATTGTTGACGTTACCGCCAAAGAAATGTGAATATGCATCCATGGAATAATAAGTTTGTCAGCTTTTTTCATTGTATAGTTAAGCAATAAACTGCATAAATGTGGCAGACCAACTGGTATAACTGCCATGTGTCACAGACAAACTGAATGGTGCGCACTAGCGCACCATGACAAGTTTGTCTGGGACACATGTGGCAGTTATACCAGCTGCTCTGCCACATCTATGCAGTTTATTGCTTATATATATATTTCCGGAATGAGAATTTGCAAAAAATAACTTATGTCTTTTCCAACTTTCAAATTTCCCACTTATTACCGTTAGGTCAAGTCAATATCTAGAACGGCACAAAGATAACAGCTGACGTCACGGGCTATTTCCAATACAAAATTGAAAAGGCTCCGCAACTTTCGTTAATAATTCATTTGTTTTTAATTTATACATATATATCATATTCTCAATTCATAAAATAGTAACAAATAACATTTTGTAAGTAACTAATTAAGTGTCGTAAAAATATTCCGATTTTTTTGCGACCTATATCAGGCGCACGCACTTAACGGAAGCCCGCAGTAATCAGGTCAGAGTTATATTTGCAGTCCGGCATGTTGTTGATGTTGATCGTGCAACCGGAGAAGGTTGAATTGGTGAAAAATCCAGGCGTAAAATTGTTTGTTGATCTCACAGACACTTGAGACAGGCAGCTGGTGTTCGGGATCAAAGAAGAAGATACCGATAAGTTCGATAGTGACAATGTTAAGTCGCTCGGAGGTACAAAGACCAACTTCAGTTATAGTCTCATAAGATGAAGCTGCTATTGGCAGTACTTTAGTAGTAACATAGAAGGGCTTTGACACACCAAATGTAAATATTTACACATAATGGATTCCGAATATGTTCTATGTATCTAGACTGTGTCATTGAACTCTGAAATGTGTACGGCGTCATATTTGAAACAAATATCAATCCGCCAAGCCTTTTTTTCTCTGCGTTTACGAAAAATTAAACGCAGTTAGAGTTTAGTAAGCTGAACAAGGGAGAGATGTAAATATACAATATTATAGATTTGTGTATAAAGTAACAAGTATGAATACACTATTCCGTAAAACAAAATAAGCATCACAGTATATGAATATACCACAGGGCTTCGCTTTTGCCTGTCTATTTGGTCCCCCACCTGCCCCTGATACTTTTTTTCCTGGCAAAAGCTGTTCTAACTTTTAACAGGATTCTATTTATGTTGTCAACACAATCACATAAGTGTAGACTTGCATCCAACATTGTTCGTCGCCTATACAGTACCATCCAAGATGAGGAGCATGTGAGCCTGCTTAATCTGACCTAACATCTGCCCTTATATTTACCTTAATTGAGCGAACAACCTTTGTCACTGTTTCCCTGTAAAAAATTCTCACATTGTCCGCACCTTATTACTAATACACGAGAGAAACATGTGTGATGATATTTCCAGATGCTAAAACTATCTGCCCCTCCGTTTTCATTGACGCCGTTTCAACTGTACGTTTTACTAAACGTTCATCCTTAGTTGATGTCGATGTCTCCTCGAAGGTTCCTAGGTACTCTCCTAGTCGTGTGATTGACAGTGTTCCAGCTCCTCCTTGAACAACGCAGAACGATCTAACTGGGTTACTTGTAAGAGCATGTACATGCCACAGTGGAACTCCTCCTAGTGAAGAAAACTTTTTCAACAAATGTCCCCTCTGATCCAAAACAATCAGACATCTCAAACCGAAATCTGACACTAATAAAAAGCCATTCATGTTAATGGTTACCTTTACCGGATATCCGAAATAATTCCCTTTGTTCACAATTGTTCCGGTTTCGTTTGGCGTTTCGCCTTTGAATCGCATCAGACAACTGTTCTTTGAAGGCTTTTTCATCACATTCCCCACAGTCTGAGACGCCATACAGACTATCAGGGTGCCGTCGTTCGGGGATACAGCAACTCCTCGTGGATATAATTTGGTGAAACAGCACAGAACTGTCATCTAAACGAAAGAAAATAAAAAGTGGATTTCAAAATCACAATAAAGATCTGGAAGGAACCAGTGGGATTTTATCTTTGTTCTTACATAATCCTAATTGCTGTCTGCAGTACGAACATGCTACAGTGTCATCATAAATGGAATCAATCTTTTGCAGGTTTTACCCTAGGTATATAAATTTGGTCTCCAAGGCTACTTGATTTAAGTTATACACACTTGGCATTTCAAGGAGAGTGCCTAAGGCAGGTTTGACTTTAATGTATAGGTATGCTGTAGTTACAGAGAGGTGGTGTCTACACAATCGAAAATACCAAGTAGTATATAGTTAAAACAATATAGACACTTGATCGTTATAGAGAAGTAGTGATAACACATCATACACCATCCTAAATGATACGTTAGATTTTAACAATTATTTTACAGCAATATGACTTTGTTCAAATCGAACAGAATATATAGGGTTAACTAAATTTGTAATATATAAATTACTTCTTCCCTAAGACTTCTGAAAAGGAACTCAAAAGTTACTAAATGTACATTGAGATACACACATTCAGGTTATACCCTTCCTGTTTTTTTTAATAAAAAGCTGTACTACAACTGCAATAACTTCCTTGTACTTGCAATAACGCGAGTTCAAGGTTATTGCGATATTATTCATAGTCACGAGTGTCAGTTAAATGGATATGAGGCGAGGTGACCACGAATTCAACTTAGCAAGTACATGTTATTTACGGTAAACAGATCGTTTATTTATATGATGAATGTAGAAATTGAATACATTTTAAAAGCTAAATATCAGATTTGTCTCCTGTCACAATGTCTTCATCAAAACTGACATACAATAATCCAATCTGCTATTTATCAATGATGGACTTTTGTTGAGATGAACATGCGATTATATGAACCTGAGAAAACGATATTAGCCGTGTCGAAGTCACGTAAATATCACTTTTCATGTTCATTTAACACATATTCACGAAAACAAAAGTCCCGGATTCTTGTATAGGATATGAAATTATTATGATTGTATCATTAAACCAGATTTACCGTGAGCTAATCATCAAGAAAAAAATACTGCATTTTGCAAACAGCTTTATATTGTGACGTTACAAAAAGAGTGACGTTATAATGTAAATATGTACCTGATGTTTCTAAAAATAATAAAACAGGAGTAAACATCACAAATAACTGACTTCTGAGGGGTAATAATTAAGCAAATTAGGACGCAGGGGATATGGTACCATGTTATATGTAATACCTTGCCGACTTGTGTATAATGACGACGTCTGTTGGTATGATTCTACATTAGAGATGTCGTCAGAATAAGATTGTGTCAGCTATCTTTATCTATATAGATTAAGAACTGGAATGCACATGTTCTGTGTGATTTGAAATAATAGCAAGGATGTTTCTAAAACATACATGTATGATATTGTGGAAAGATCCAATTCTATTGATATTTTTCATTCCATAATGATGGCTATTTCGTACTGTTTATTTACCTATTTTCATGCATATACAAACTAGTCATATTGCAATAAACATAACAAGTGTTTATTTAAGAAAACTGCCATAATAAAGCAAGTATTTCATGGTTTTGAATTGACGAAAAAGTATCAACGCATACCTGAAGATTTGATGACAGCATGATGATCCTCTTCTGTAGAGGACACGAGACATAGAGGACTCCGGTCGCAGTCACTGCTAAACTATCCACACAACCACGTGTATCAAACTTGTACACTCTCTCGTGTCTATTGTTGTACAAGGAAACCCAGGAACACTGAATGAAGGCCACCCACATGTACCCTCCTTGTGTTGTCACCAACCTTTTAACACGTCCGCACGATCTTTCACATGGACATGACAGTTCCACCCGGGCGTCAACTTTGATTGAAAGCTTTTGAGATGTTCCGTCAGAGCTGTCTTTATCGCATTTAGTTATTTTCCCCCACAGCTTTGTGGCCATGGTTTTGATATTTTCAAAGCTTGATGATGCTTTAATACCAGATTGGTCATATTTTAATGTACTAGATCTGTCTCTATTTGTTCTCCTGTTGATATTGTCTGTGCTCGAGGATTTTTTCATGTCATGAATATCACTTTTGATTACATTTAGTTTATCATTGATATCTCGACCTTCAATTTTGTTTTCCAACTCAATGGAATTATAGATATCGCTATCGCTTACAGATCTTTGAGAGGACAACTTAGGAATTTGAATGTTTAGTAGTCCTGGTTCGGTTGTACTTATGTCCTTCTGAAGCTGTTGTAGTTGGTTCACTTCTTGCTCTAGTTCTCTGAGCTTTTCTAAATACATGTCTTGTTGTCTAGGTTTAGGCGTGTGCCAACTATGATCCTGTTCTTCAGATTCAGTGTCACTATCCTGAATATTTTCTACTGTGATTGTCGGATTCATAGGGTCGAATGTATACAAACTGTTTTCTCGGAAGCAGCCTTTCAAAATCAAACTCGACCTTTTAGATCTTGTCGAGTCCAACTTCATCGCGTTAGGTTTCGACGACTGTGACGGTGTATTCGTGAGATGTGTGATGGATTTCGTAGAATCTACCACTTCCAAACCATCACTTTGGTTTTGTTTTTCTCCCGGCAGTGTTGGTAAATCGACACTGTTTGCGGATTTTACGGCATCAATACCTTTGATACATGTACTAAAATCAGGTGTATAAAGTCTGGGTCTTGTTTCTGAATCCAAATCAAAACATTTCTTGAACAAATCGCCAATAAAATATTTGTCAAGGCTGTCGGACATGTTTGTTTCTAATCCAGAGTAAATTTTATCGTGTATTTCGTCAGTTTCAGAACTGTGGCTTAGGTTTAAAAGGGGACATTCTGAAATGGCACTATCGAAGGAATTTCCAGTGCATACCCAGCTTGCTGTTAAATCATTTGTGTCTTCATCGTCGTTTGGAAAGGTCATTAGGTTCAAGGTCTCTGGAAGCCTGTATGGAATAGAAACACAGAACAATGAATCAGCAACGCTTTAGAAAATCTTCCTCACTTTCGGAGGAATATGTATGCAGGGACTTCATTGAATATCCTGAAATATGATATGGTCACCTTTTGTCAACTGAGTGATAAAACATATGTTAGATCATAATTAAATATCGGAATTTATATATATAATTTGAAAAATGAGACTTGGTATTTTGGTTAGTACATGCGTATGTAGTGCCGTAAGCATACTTTAATTGAGGTGATCATGTTTTTATTATTTGTTTAAGGAAAAAGTGTGCGACATTGTAGGGACGTTTTGCTTCATTGGTAGATTTTTACTTGATCAAAACTAAAATGACAGACGTGCACATCAGCATACTAACAAACACATATTTGAATTTTGGCGATCTGAAGTTTTCTTCATTTTAAGATCAATAAGGGGGTCTGCATGGAAACAAGAGTACTTGTCTTTACTCGACTTAGAGACAGATAGTGAACAACAAACCCTGACTTTTTATGTACTTATTTTGTATCACTTTTCATATATATATAAATAATATAAAAGATATAACCTCTAAGGTAATATAACCTTGTTGAAGTTAAGAGTCAATCGTGATGTCTGATGTTAAGAGAAAGGTTTAATAATCGTTAAATCATGCACAATGTTTCCCCGAAATATAATAAAGTTAAACGAATTGCAGCTTTATATTTACTATAATGCAGAACAATTTTCCTCTTATAATTCATTTTAAGAGTAGTTTGCTTAACTATTGAATAATAAAAAAGCAAACGAGCGTACACTGTAGAAAACAAATGTATTTGCCGGTTGAATTAGTGAACCGTTCATTGAACCTTATCTTTTAACTTTACCGCAATATGATCGATAAGTTGCCGGTGATGCATATCAATATGTATTTGTTTTTCCCCTTTTCGGACAGACATGTATTCCTATCAATTACATTCTTGTCTAAAACACTGTTAAACGCTCAGATCTATTTTGGTACATTTGTTTGAAATTGTTAAAGAAGCCACCCAGTGGACACACTGCGTCCAGAGAACGTCCGGAAAACGTCTTATTCTGGTCACAACGTCCGCGACTTAAAAACAACGTTATGAGGACGTCTTGTTCCAAATGTCTGTGCAACGTTTGAAAATAACTAAGGTTCCTTAATAAGTTTACAGTAATTATGATCAAATCACTTCAAATAAAAAGAAACGATAATACTTTGTAATTTGTATGATCAGTATAACACATAATGATCGTAACGAGATGATTGAGTAAAACTGAGATGTATCCGGGAATTATTTACTTTAATTTAATAAACGTGATATTAACTACTGTATATAACAATATATTTTTAAAAGTGAGAACTTTTTTGAAATATTGCATTAACAAAAACATTATCCCAGTAATGCCTCACAAACATTTCAATAACGATAAAGCTGTCCTTACTGAAGCAGCGATATAACGAAAGCACTTTGGTCATGTCTCCCCTTATTTTGCAAATTGATCCGCTAGAGGGCAGCATCCTATATACAATAAAATACATTCTTTTTTGTTTATTGTTGACATCGATAGCATCCAAGTTGCTTAAAGATATCATAAATAAAAGATAATTTATATATTAATGTCTAAATTGGTGTATAAAGACGGAAAGAAAAGAATAACACAAAGATTTGCGCGGTATTCTGTATTTCCAGTTGTCTGTTTGCCCATTCGATTCAAACTGGACAAACTGACCACTGGTCAATGGGAGTCACCCAAACTGGATAATTGTTAATAGTTATCTTCACAGTCTGAATGCTTGAAGATGTTTAAATATCAACTTCGTTAGGTAGGTAATTGTTGAAGTTTTTTGGTACAGTTTGCATTTTGACACTTTTAATAACTGTTTACAAACAAATCGAGAGAGCGTGTGTTCGACACATATGCATTCTCGTGCTAGTAAATATTCAAGATCAATGATCTGTGCTAATGGTAAGTCCAAAAAAATTAAGTGCACTTTGTCAAAATGCAGACTGAACGAAAAACCTTATACACTTATTAACTTAAGTAGGTGATATTTACAAACGTATTCAAACTGCCAATAAAAAAATTCACCTTTGTTACGCTGTGTTTGTTGCTGTTATTCTATTGCATTACAGGGTTCGTTACAAATGTCTTATATACATATGCTATGCTGATGTGCTGTGACTCATATCAACAAAGCATATGTGTATATATTTAAGATATTTGTAACGATCCCCTGTAATTGCATATAGATTTGATTATAAATGAGACGTGGCGACAACGTATGTACAACAGTAATAAAACGTTGTCAAAATGCTACACACGAGCGTTACAGGAAATCGTCCAGCAAACTTATTGCAACGTTACTGTTACCTGAATGCAACGTTGTGTCCTGACGTAACTGCAACGTTTTCATGACGTTTTGTACTCACTGGACACGTACACGGAAAATCTTAAATGAGTTGATATTAATAAATATATCAGTCTTCAACTACATAAGTCCGGTGTCATCTATTGTTTATAATGAATTTGGGTTGTAGCGTTTGAAGTGGTCTGATTGTTTTAAAATATACTGTTCTATTTATAAACTCATAAAAACTTTATAAACTTGAAAACAACTCAAGCAACTTTCTTAAAAAAACTTACTTCCACATCGTTATGTGATAGAATAATAAACATATAGTTCCGTCTCCTGAACTAATATGTCGCCAGTTGTCCATGAATTTGATAATTTCATTAAATTAAAACGTTTTTTTGTGGAAAATATTATGAGCAAATACATCCGTTATATGTCGTTGTTTTATGGGAATTTCTGTATGTTGCTATGTTTACTAAGTATCACAACAGTATATAAGTGCGGATTTGTTGATTAACTGACCGCTGAAGACATCTTCAAGATTCAGTGGTGATATTTTTTAATAACAATTTTTTTCTCCAAAACTAACACACGACTTTTCAACTGTTATTCATAGCTACTTTCGGCACAGGGTATCACAATGGCATTACAATACAAATATGACTACAGACTCGAGGGGAAGAAAAAGGAACCGTGCATCAATAACGGATGTGAATGGAACGAAGCGCAATGGAAGCTTGTTGGAAAAAACAATTTTCCATATCCTTATATAGTTAAGTACAAACCGTAAAACACGTTTTGAAACACACAAAAAAAATATGCTCATAAGTGAAACCCGTTTATAACGAACACAGCAGAACCTCTGAATTAGTTCTACAGTGAAATGCATTAACATTGTTCTCTAGAGTAAACATGCTTTGATAGCGAACTTCTAGGGACTCATGCAATTAGTCTTCTGCAGCTAAACACATTTATACATGTAGCACACTTTCTAAGGCGTATACAATTTGTTTTGCATAGTGACATACCTCTTTTGGTGTTAAATTAGCAATTAGCCTCGTCTCAGGCAAGGTTTCGAACATGCTATAAGTGTTCTCAAACGAAGTGTGTCTAAATCAACGATTCTTCTTTAACATTTCCAAAAGGTACCACACGTCCTAATCTGTAAAACGTTTATAAAGATGCGCCTCCAACTCCGATTAATCAATGCTTTAACGGGAGTTTAGTGAGAAGAGGGATAAAATACATATTTTACACTTACAGGTGTTGCATATTCAATATTCACTTATTCAAAATAGTGATATGTCTATTCATAAGCATACCTGGGATTTGATTTTCCATTTCGATGTTGTTCTTCAGAAAACCTCTCTGGAGTTGTCAATGGTTTTCTTTGAGGAAGCGGTGGCGGGTCGGTCGAAAGATCATCAGGTAGGTCATTATTGATATCCTGTATACAACCTTGTCTGGGGATAGCCATGTGTGACGTTTTGTGGATGAATACCATTCACAACCATATGTTCGCTACCACCAGTATGTCACTGTAGAATAACTTCTCCTGAAACGTCACTGGGACTAGGACATAATTGTATGCTACCAACATAAATATTACATCAATATATATGCCAACGGAACAAAAGCAGGATTATACTATACTTATCATCTATACACATCCCTTGTCGTGCAAATCCATTATACGATGAAGTCGTGTAAGATGAATAAAGAATCGCTGCCAAATAAGTACAACTCCCGATAACGTGATCACCAGAGTATGTGCATTGTTGAAGTGTTTGTGTACCGGAACAATAACATTGAGTGAGGTTTCTAAGCTAAAACAATGGCTGACTGAAACCTTATCTTTGTCTTAAAAACAACAGAGTTTTCGTTTCCTTATTTAACGGAGGGGTGTTTTCTGAAACGACGCCGTACCATTACTTCCGCATAAATGTACATAGAGAAATCGTTAAATGTACACAAACTGATTCAAATATTATAAATTACACATGTCACAGTATTAAGGAAATTCATGACTAAGGAATATTCATTAAACTTTGATTTCCAGAGGAAAGTATTACTGAATGAAGGAAGTTTGTCTTTCCAAAAATATAACGATTTTCTAAATAAAATCTATATTTTAGAGGTTTCGTTACATAAAAGTATGGTGGTACAAATTGTGCCAGGGTTAAACATCTATTATATTAGAGGCTTGTCTTTCCGACTTTATTTTTGTTTACCTCTCATTTATTATTCCTTGCATTTCACAGTCAAAACATGTCTTGTTTACAGTACAGATACCTCTCTTACAAACTCGTTACTGCGACGGCTGCTATAGAAGTGTTTGTCCATATCCAGGATTAAAGCATGTGTGTCATAGGACAAGTCTGCTAAATACTTTTACATTACACTGTATTGCGTTAGGGCGACGTCTGATAATGGAAGTGATTTCGTAATAGCAATCATCTTGTTCATAATGCGTAAGATATTTGATCTGCACATTATACTGTGCTGTATCAATAACCTCTGTTATGATAAAAACTCGTCTACAAGAAGACACCATTCTTAAAGATGAGAATAATACCAGGTGTTCTGGTAGAGTTTCATCAACCTACCATGTAATGATACTTCCTCTTATCGATAATATATTTACCTTACCGTTATTTAATTATTCATTTAGCATGAGCTGATGAAAATATATCAAGATAATCTTCTGAATACAATAAATTGTTTTCTATGCTTTATTATGCAAAGTCTGTTGATCTCGATCAGCATGTAAAAGGACAATATACAGATGTAGGGTGTGATTCGTGATGACTTATATACAATACTGCAAACGCATATGGTTCCAAGTAACTGAACTAATGTGCACATATCGCGTAGACGTTGCAAATTACGATACAACCAGATATATTTACATTTGCATGGCATTGTCACTATATAGCCTTAGCGTATTAATACAACACTGACCGGAACTACAATGTCCAATATAAATAAACATGACGGCAGCTGAAATATCGCTGCCAGGCATTGTGAGATTTGACAATACCATTGTAAATTTATGTGCAAAATAAATAATTAAATTAAAAAAACTTTTATTACAACGAAAACAAGACCAATGTCTGCAATATCGTACAAAATGCACATCAGTTGAAATCACCAATGCCGGCAATGAAAACAATTTTAACGCTCATGCAATTTATCAGAAATATCGTCTGTTACACTGCACTGATGAACAGGTTTCATTACAAATGTCTGAAATACACATATTCTATAGACCTACTGACACATATATTACAGACCTACTGATATGAGTCACAACACACATAAACATTTCAGACATTTGTAACGAACCTGTGCTCCGTCGCAAGATCACTCACTTCAAACGCTATCAGTTTCACGCGTCTCGCATACACCATTCCTCAGTTTCTGACGACATGTCAAATAAGGAGGATGTTATAGAATTTACCGACTATTGTCAGGTTCCCATACAATCAACAAATACATTCACGCCTGGATTCTTCACAAAATGAGCAAAGAGAAAAGTTCAAATTAACTTCCAAAAATAATAAAAGACATATCATACGCAATTGTATTGATACTGAATTGTGGATTAAAATTGAAGTGTTTGTTAAAATTTCAAAGTACTACTTTGTTTTCCAATCAGCACGCGACAATACGCTGTTTAAACTATTGAACGAAATTGTGTGGACTGTCGATAAGGCGGGCATTTTAAATTTTGAATACAAATTATAAGTTAAAAAAGAACATAAGAGGCAGAGCAAACGTAAATATAAGTATTGAACTGTTTTGTATGGTATTTATGATATATTTGAATGACACAGTCTGTTTGATCAGCTCCAGTTAATATAGGTATATTTTTGAGGACCAAACCTTCATAACGTCTACACAAAAGACATATGATTGTTTAAAGTTATTGAATAGACACAACTGACTGGGCATTTAGGTTTGAACGGTATCCAAGGAAAACAATTTCGATTTATTATTAATGTTATCTGTCTTGAGATATTAACTTAATAGAATCGAAGTAACTTGAATTTTTCTCATTGATTATTGCTTATGGCGGTGGACGTTTGTTCGACTACCCGGGTGCTCTATCGTATTGCAAGGCACGAAAGTCAGTTCTATTTTCATATATTTCAAGACGCGGAGTTATTGTTTAAAATGTTTATTCTATACGTGTTTGTAATCTCGGTTGTTTTGTATGTGTGATACTGTTAGCCATGCATAGACCGTGTCCCAGCCAGACCCGTTCTTCACGCGTTATATCAACTCTGCACGCGCCTTATAAGTTTCACTTCTGGTCCGAAACATTCCAGGAAAATATCAAGACAAAGTTACGCTCATGACTAGTATTAAATGACTGGTGTCCAATGCACAATGCCTATTGACTAGTGTTTATTGACTAATGTCTATATCTTGTGTCTGTTATCTGATGTCTGCTGACTAGTGTCTGTTATCTGATGTCTGCTGACTATAGTGTCTGTTATCTGATGTCTGCTGACTAATGTCTGTTATCTGATGTCTGCTGACTAGTGTCTGTTATCTGATATCTGCTGACTAGTGTCTGTTATCTGATGTCTGCTGACTATAGTGTCTGTTATCTGATGGCTGCTGACTAGTGTCTGTTATCTGATGTCTGCTGCCTATAGTGTCTGTTATCTGATGTCTGCTGCCTATAGTGTCTGTTATCTGATGTCTGCTGACTAGTGTCTGTTATCTGATATCTGCTGACTAGTGCCTGTTATCTGATATCTGCTGACTAGTGCCTGTTATCTGATGTCTGCTGACTCTAGTGTCTGTTATCTGATGTCTGCTGACTAGTGTCTGTTATCTGATGTCTGCTGACTAGTGTCTGTTATCTGATGTCTGCTGACTTTTGTCTGTTGACAAATGACTAATGGTATGTGGGTACTGAGTGGTAGTCTGTGACTTAAATTTCAGACTAAGGTTTCATAACTTGCTTCTGAAGCCTTTTCCGCCGTCATTTGCTTTTAAGTAAGAAATACATGGCAATGAGGTGCTTTACATTACCTTATATTTAGTGTTTATTCACCAATAAGCAAAGATATTAAAAACTGAGTAATGGGAAGCGAAACAAGTGCTTCTGGTGTAGGTAAAAAGAGCAAAACGGGAATCGATATAGGAAAAACATGTTATGCTTAGAACGCTGAGGAAATGATGCAAGGAGGATGAATTAAGTTTGATACCATATGCTTTTGCAGTACTTTATGGAGGTAACATATGGTGTCCCGGTTATAGCGATACACTAGGACTCGCGTTTAAAGGAGAAAGACCGTGACATGCGGTAACTGATGTCCGATATTCATATGTCATTCATATTATTATTATTAGTTCGAGAAAACCAGGTTATTTCGATCCACCATATGTGTTGCCATTAAAGTCAAATGTATCTGTTAGTGGATTGGCTCAGTGAGTCCTTTTTTGAGTACCTTGATCAATGTCCGACCTGTTACCACTAGCAATATCCCTTCGGAATCTATCGCCGCGGCTGTCACGATCTGTGATTCCAATTCCGTCACGGTTGATTTATTAACGGTGGTAGAACCATCGTAATGACTTCGTATTCGTAGAATATTTTTCCTACCAGACTGTACAATGATTAGGTCATTGTTGACGTCATAGCTGAGAGCATGGTTAGCTAGTAATCTCATATTTGATTGATTAAACCTTCCCAACAAGCTTCCCGCGTCGGATAAAAGAAGCACTGTTCTATTGCCATGATCAGATACAGCAATATCCCCATTTGCATTCACAGCGACGCGGAAAGGATATTTAAATAAGTTATCTTGAGTGACCTTTGAACCCTTAACACAATAAACATCTTGCGAACAAATACACCTGGTACTACTGCTCCTTTTGTTGTTTGATTGACCTTCGACCTTTGATCCCGAAGGCTGGGAACGACCAGAGTCTGTATTTCTGGAACATGCCAGGCAATGTTCTCGGATAGAGTAACGTATCAAGCATGCGCTGTGACAACCACAATCCTGTCCCGGTTGATAAGTGAGGTCCGGCACCATACAGGCAATCAGACAGTTGTCCACTGGACTAACAGCTATCCCTCGGACGAAGGCCGGCGTCACCACTAGAGTGTACAACTGTCAACATAAATATTCTGTATGTTATTATGTTGCGTTAATGATTTTATTTAAGCAATGAATGATTTAGCAAATGTTTTTTACTGTTCTATAACACACATTGATATTGATCACAAACTTAATAAATTTCTCAGGATTAGCTATAGACATTTGTGTTATAGGACTAGACCAATATTTGCTAAAATATTCATTATTCATATTTTGACATTGTAGTTATACGTTGTTAAGTTATTTAGAACAGTTCTTTCAACAGCAAATTAATTGTTGACAACAACGAAATTGATGACGTCACAAACGATATTGATGACGTTACAATAGCAGTGGTGTTATAGTCACAGCATTTGCCTTCGCATCGCATTGCAATGACAGGATGCAGAACAAATGTAAATATTTCAAAGTAGATGATGGGGAAACCATATTGTCACTTTAAAATGTCATGTCAAAGGAATATCGTTAACTTGTCACATAAACATATAGATTTATGGTAAAACGTGAACAGAAAAAAATGTATGTCGACTATTCCTTCTATTGTAGGCTTTATTCATGTGATGTTGTATAACCTGAACATTATCTATTTAGTTTTTGTTATCAGAAATGCTTAAATGTGGTGCATGTATTTCAAATCCAAACAAAAGTAAAAACAAAGATAAGTTTAGGGGTTATCCGGTATATATCGAAAAAATGCTGTTAATTCGTTAGTACATGTACCGCTTAGCAGTAAATTTATGATAAGCGCACACATTTTTTCTATTAAATTATGTAAGCCTGAATGTAATATCTGTAATTCCTCTATATTAAAGAATATCAAAATGATACAAATGGATGTTGAAATTTAACATACTAACGATGCTATATTAAGTGTAAGTGTCCGGCGTTTATTAGGAGACACACGTTTAAGAATATTTCGGCTGAATATATCTGTCTATAGGCTATGATTCTAATGTATCAACCAACTCAAAAATTTCACCCTACCTGCAGTGTCCTGGTAAGTACTTTGATACGCCTTGACTTCGGACATGATATATATAGATTGCCGTCTCTAGAGCTGGTAACGTCGTCAATAGGCATTCTCAAATCAACGGAGTCGATAGCGTTGCCATGGTAATCATAAAGTTTGATGACATTACTGTTTTGGAATGTAATCCACATACTGCCGTCTTTGTTTGGTAAGATATTAGATATCAGTTGCCCCGATGGCGTGAATTTTGTCGCAAGAAAGTAAGGAGAAGAATTCTCCTTCTTTTGTCCCTTTCTCGTGACGATTTTATTCAGTAATCCATCTGACCATCTCGTTTTGTTGACGCGCCGAATATCACTTGTAACTATCCGGGATCGTTGATGCATGCAGAAATTTGATAACTGATTATCCTTTAATATATTTTTTGGAACCTTAACAAACGTTTCATCCTCGTCGTCACTGCTATCGTGTGAGGAATAAACAAGTCTGTGATTTGATAGACGACACCCTTTAAGAAATGTTTTGTTTGTGTCATCCACTGGTGACAATTGTTCTACACTTTCCGCTACGGGCGGTTCATCATTTCCATCCATGGACTCTTCTAATGATTGCAATACTTCCAGCAAGTCCTGGTCTGTGTACTGGCATCCGTCACTTGTGCTGCTAAAGGAATCTTCGTTCAGATTTACTAGTACACCTTTGTCAGCTTCCGAAATGTCGTCTGCAACATTGTAATCTTTCTCTGCTTCAAAAAACGTTGTCAATGTCAGAATATCGGGATCATTTAATTTGCATTGTGTTTCGTGGCTCTCATTGAAATCGATAAATAAAGGATCAAACTCACATACACGTTGGGAAAGCAAAGTTTCGTTTGAATCGAAATCTGTTTGACTAGATTTGGTATTTGAGACTAATTCCGGTGTAAGAACATCGTCGTCATCGCCAGATTTAAACCATTGATGAGAATGTGTACAATGCCGGTCTGTCACTGTATTGGATGTATAGTCCGGATCTTCATTTGTCAAACGGAACATGCTGTTCTGACTGAAATATTTGTTGAGATCAAGGGTAGGCTCTGGTTTACCTTCTGAGGGACGATAAGGATTGTAAGAATTTGTACGAGACAAATCGATTTTGCATGTACGTATATCCATTGGAATAATTTCCTTATTACTTGTTTGTATGTTACCTTATATACAAAGTATAAAGTGGAAACCCATCTATGACTCACATATTTAAAAGGACTTCACCTTACATAAGGAAGATTGAAGAATCAATATTTGATTAGATAATTTATTTGTTGGCTCGACGAATCAAATTCATGTCAAATATAAATCATCACGTGTCTCCTTCCATGCGAAATAAGACAATATTTAACGTCACGTACAACTCATACACCCGCGTGACTATATGCTCACGTCCTACAAGTACGTTTAAGGTAACTTGTCATTAGATGTACTCAATTTTGTGGGTCGGAGAGAGCGGTCATATTTTCCCTCAATTAAAGCACAATTAGGGCATGCACGTAATCAACCATTAAAGAAAAAACGTTAACATTTTTTTTTTTTTTTTCTATATGAAAAAGACTTTCGGTCGAACACGTCATAGTTTAAGTTTGAAACAGATTGTGCTGAAACAGATTGAGGGCCGTTAAGGGGCTTCGACAACATTGGTCCGACCGGTGGGAAATCCATTCGGAACTCCTCAGTGGCTATTTCTGTAAGCGTAGATAAAACACCCGAGGTTTGCCGATACATACGGTGGCGTGGTCTGTTCACGGGGCAATGAAGTTTGTACGTTGTATCGGTCAGATGAACGGCGCCGAGAGTTACCTATTAAGCGATGACAATAAAAACACATTTACATATATACAAGTGAATGAACAGTGTTGGCTTAGATATATATCATAATAAAATATTGCTACCGTAATTAAACAAAATAATTATTGAAAACATGATGCTGCCTATATTCTTTGTTGTCATTTTATTTTTCTACAGATTGGATTTCGCATTGTCACTATATGAACTACGGTGTAAAAACCACTGTTTCTGTGTCATCAGGACATCCGACTCCTTTAAAAATGTAAATTTGAGTACGAGTAAATTCTTCCTTGTGTTACGTCAATGTAAAGTATTATTGTACATTTCCACAATACAGAGAACGATACGGGAGCTTATACTTTGATGTGTGACTTCAGTTTGCCTCAATCTTGTTCTCTGTCCCACCAATTTCCTATCGTTCATTAGGGAGGGGCCTGGGGAGGAACAATTGCTGATTCGACTTCTTGTATCCCGATGCTCTATCTTCGTTGGTTTCTTGTTACCCCAGTCTTTTTCCCCATTCTTATTTATAAATTCCCTTTTTCTTAAAATGCGTTTCCCCTAAGCAAATTGGCAATAAGGAAGTTGTTGTTACGGTAAAATCAGCTCAAGTGTATTCATACACTTACGTTAAGTGTGTCTGGAGAGGCCACACATTTAGTCATTTCCTGAGTGTTTAATCATATATTTGAATTTTGGTTGTATCCCTCTAAATAGATACTTCCTTTTATCGTTTTAAAGTAGTTATTTTACATCATCAGTCACAAGGTCATGTCAGATTTCACTAAATTATATACAAGTTTAAATTTTACATGTTAAATTTAGTATTCTAATTTACAAATAATGACTCACTTATGAGCATATACGAGTTTCATCTTACGATGGACATGCTACTAAAACGTGATAGCTACTATTTATATAAGCACTAATTCTACGTTTTGTCTTTCTTAGGTCCCTCAACAACTGCATCGCAGACATATAACGATCATCATGACGACAAACACGTGGTTGCATTCGCTGCAGCGCTTACACGCACAGTGACAGGGAACTCCGGTGATACTGTTAGATATGACAAGATTTTTACCAACCTTGGAGGTGGATACGACAGAAACACTGGAGTGTTTACTGCTCCCAAATCAGGAATTTACAAATTTGATTTTCATGCCTACGATTCTAATACTGATCACGCGATGTGGCTGGAACTGATTAAAAATACAGAGCTCCTTGTTTCTCTGGCCGGTTACAGCAGCCATACCTCTGCAGGTAACTCTGTCATTGTCTTCGTCGGAAAAGGGGAGAGAGTTTTCGTCCAGGTCAGACAGGACCAGAGCTTCACCCTCTTTGGCCAGAAAAATAAGGTTTATGGTACTTTCGTCGGACATCTGATTGGTGAAATGGACATGGCTCAAAGTGATTCTTCTTAATTTAAAATTATGTAAGTTTATGTTTGTACAATTTTGTCGTATTTTGGGTGGCAGATTTCAAATAAAAACGAAATAAACCAATATTTACAAGACTGTATTTTATTTTGCATTGTAAAAAAAAAACATTTTTCAATTTTTAGCATGCAACTGAAAATAGATAAATGTCAAATAAAGTAGTTTTTTTCTATAGAACTATTTTAGTCATTCATTTCCTAAATTATTACATTTCTTTTTCTGTTTCTGTTTTTTAACATTTCATTGGTGTAAATAGTTAATGCTTAAGAAAATAAAGCATTCCTCTTAAAATATATGGATTTATTTTAATCAATGCTAACAGTTTTAAGATATTTAATTACCTTACAACAAAGGCAGGATCAATTGACACCACACGATACGGCTAGTCAATACATGCCACATCGAGTTAAACGACAGTAAATTACATAAATGATAGAAGACATTCTGGTTGTATTGGATTTTGACTGCATGTTTTCAATACGGTTAGGTCATGCACCAACTGAGTTGACTAGTGATCTACCCATGAACGGGTACTTGCGTGCAAACAAACAGAAATGTCAGATCTTGGAAAGGAAAGCTGCAAACCGAGCGATACTGTTTTTACTCCATAAATGATGTAGAGTAATACATTGATAAATAAAATTTTAAAGATCGCACTTTGTTAAATTATGGCCCACAAAGTGAAATATAATAATCGAAATTATCTGCGGGTACTCTACATGTGTTGTCCTGTACGATAAAGAACATAATTCGTCAAATAGTACCTTTGGGGTCGGATACCAAGATGTAATCGATTTAAAAACATGTCTACTACAATTATTCATTCTAAACAAACATCGAAGACGTAGGCCAAGCTAATCAGCCAGAAGTACCACTATGATATAAATGTTAGAATAAGGGAGATAACCATTACGGTAGAAAAGTGTTAAGAGTAAAAATGTAGCTTTGAATTAACAAATGCATGACTTCAATGTTATTTTTGTTTTCTCAATAACAGACTGCGTATTTCTAAAGGCACAATACAACCCTATTATCTTCAGTCAACATATAAAACCCAAAAACCTTTCCAGATAAAGCAGCCGACGTTATGCAGCTTTGGTAATCTCATTCAAAAGGTCGTATTTTTGCGGCTTTATAAGCATTTCAGGAGGTCAACTAGTTTGATTTGAAAATAGACTCCTTAACTACCGGATGATTAATTAATTCGGTAGTTACCTGTCACATAACGGTTTGCCCTGCATGTGCACTACGTAATAAAAGACGATAAATTTCCCGTTGTCCGTCAAAAAATACGAAAACACACAGTGTTGAAGATTTATCAACGCGTTAGCAAATTTAGTAATGTGATTACATGTTAATAGAACTAGAGGCAGGGCTCTTCGCTACATTGCACAAAATATAGTTCGCATCTTTCTCTACATAACACATGCATAATCATCTGTTTCCCTCTCATGACTAAATTATTCTATATCGCACTTAAAATGCTGTTATACGTGTATTAAAAATGCACTTGACCTTAATAACTAACCCGCACTTGTGTAGTTAGTTCGGGTTACTTCAACTTAAATGTACACAATAACACATCATATTGACCCTAATCACCTATGTCGCTTCTAACAATTAATTTCATACAGGAAAACCCTGTTTATATCCGAAACTGCAAAAATGGAGTTATCAATCCGGAGAAACGTATTTGATAATAGTTCCAGATGTGACTGCAAGCTGACCATTCTGTACCACTGCAGTTGCTCTAACTTTACAATAAATATCCGGATCTAGTCGTCGCGATGTCGCCGTCTCGACCACGGTGCCCCGGTATTCGCCTAGTCGAGTGATGGACAATTGACCACGTCCACCATGAACAACGTAGAACGACTCTCCATGACCACTTGTAAGGCTATGCACCTGACAAAAAAGTCTATCTCCCACAGTCGAAAAGACGTTCAACATGTGTCCCTCTTGACTTACAACAAAAATACATTTCAAACCGAAATCTGAAACTAATATATATCCATTGACATTGATAGCGAGCCTCAAAGGATATCCTAGAAAGTGTTCTTTGTTCAGAACTTGTCCTTTTTCGTTTGCTTTTTTTCCTGGAAATTTCATCAGACAATTCTTTGATGGACCTTTCATGACGTTTCCGACCATTTGTGACGTCATACAGGCGACCACAGCTCCATCTATTGGGGATATTGCAAGACCCCTTGGATGCAGTTTATTGAACTGGCCCATTATAATCAACTGTAATAAAAACAGATCTTTAGTTTCGATTTAAATTTAACATCATGAATGCCAAATCGAATGTGGATAATGTACGCAAATATGCATTTTATTTAAATAAAAGAAATATAGACAATATCATGAAATTTGAAAAAAAAATCAAGTAGGAAATGAACGTCGGGATGGAAAAAAGTAAACGTCTTTTGTGAAACCTTACGAAACATTAATTGTTGAAGAGAAACTAGATGATTGGCATATGTTTCTGGCTCTTATAGAAACGTGTACACCCATGAAGTAAGGACACATCTCGAAAGGAGGAAGTATTGGATTAATTGAGGCTTTTTTAAGTCTCGGTTTCGATTGAGTTATCTGTTAGATAAAGGCAAATCCTGAATCATTAGTAACATAGTAATGTTTGTATTTTTAATTTATCTAAACAAAGGATAAATGTACCTTTATATTTGTCTGGTACAGAATGAATATATCAATCTATATATCTAAAGTTAAACCCCCTGAGAAACAAACAGAATTGTATAATAACAGGTGAGAATCAGTTTCGCCCACTTTGGAAGAACACAATCTTAAATTGTGAAAATTGTAGTTTGGTGACATGTATTACATAGAATTGAATTCGACCTTATCAGAAGTAAATCAATAAAGAATTACGTGCACATTTTTGGCAAACCTCTAGAATTGGTAAAGTCATTTTAATATTATATAAAAGTATGAATTTTGCTCTTTCCAGCTTACAAGATAAAGAAAAAAGAATAAGATAACAATGATACATACTTTTTTTAAATTGTGTGACATGGTGTATTTATTTTTTTACTCGAATTAATTTAAACATAATGATAGTTCAAAAGTACAATCCGAATCATTACAATTACATTATCTTTAACATGAAATCGGTACTGAAGTACTGGGTTCCGGATTTTTCTTTAATACCGGTGTATATCAAAGTCACTATGAAATCCCTCCCTCATAAAACAAAACCCTGAAAACCTTTAGCTACATCATTCTTTTTCTGTTATCCTGCTATTCAATGCGCCACGAAGGCACCCGTTTAGTATCAAATACAAACATTTACAACGGTATTTACATAATAAATATATTATTGGAAGAAAAAACTTATAAAACTTTAACAGGTATAAACGAATTTATCTGTACTGTTTTGTTTCTATAGATTATTTTAATATTATTCTATTTTGAATCATTTGGTTAACACATATCCCTACAAATCGACCTATAGCTTCAAACGTTAAGTAACGCAACGCTGCCATTACCGCAGGTACTGTTAGGTAGAAATAAAATAAATTTACTTAATGGACAGCAAAACTAAAAACATACTGTTATTTATCAATAGCGTACAAGGATGAAGTAATGACAATATTAATATTTCACCAAAAATGTTTTTTAATTAGTATTTTAGGATATTTGTGAGATAATATACATTATGAACCTTTTCATTGTAATTTTGAATATTAAATATCTTTAATATTACATTCATAGTCATTTGGATGTTTAGTAAATCTATAAGTGGTATAAAGCGCCATAGCAATGAAACTGTAAACATCTAATGGTAATCACAAGCACATTCAAATGTATCTAAGTAGAATAAACTGATATAATCACATACCTCGAGGTTTTTGGAGAGCATCAGAATCTGCTTCTTCATTGGACAAGAGATGTAAAGCACACCAGCCGGGGATACAGCTGGACAGTCAACTATGCATCCAGCGTCAAACTTACGAACGGGAATGTATTCGTGGACATACACTGATACCCAGGAACAGTGGAGGAACGACACCCATATGTGTCCATCTGATGATAACGCCAAACTGTCTATTCGTTCACATGAACCCCCACATGCACAAACGAGCTTCGTTTGCCAATTTAAATGTTCTGTAGATGTTTGTTTGGAGTTTTTTACAATACATTTAGCTATTCGAGACCAAAGGCTTCTTTTTGCTTTACATTCAATGTTATCTTTGCTTGAAGATGTTTTCACTTGCTTTCTTTCACTGTGCTCGTACTTCCCACAGGTTCGCGTCTTGTTGTCGTCAACATCGACTCCCTTATATATAGCGCTGTCACTAAGCGAACGTTGGGACAATAGACTTCGACGGCAGGTGTCGGATATTCCTGTATTTTCGACGGTGTCAGATTTTAAATCAGCTTTTTGATGGCGTCGCTGGTTTTCGTCGACTTTATTCTGGTGTGATTTGTACTCGCAGGAAAACTCGGTATTTCTTGCAGGTCCCATCCGTATGTAGTCGTCTTCCTCGTTGTCTGAAAGCTCCTTTCTTTGGTGTTTTTCTCTTGATTGTGTGTTGTTTCCGGAATTAAAAGCAGTTCTTTCATACTGTTGTGATGATTTGGGTACGAAATAGCCACTCTCGTCTTCATTATGTTTACGTTATTGATGTTCACGCATTCTTGAATAATCGAAAACACCACCGATGGAATATTGACATGCATTTGTCTCTTTCGTCTGTTCGTTTTCAGAAGTAGCTGGAACAAATGGATTCAAGACCAATTCATCTCTCACGTGTCGCCCAGAATTTCCTTTGTATGAAATGACGTCATCATATTCCCATGGACCAAATTGTTNCAGTAGACAGCTTTCGAACGCTTTTGGGTTGAGTGTTTCAATTTTGTTGTCGTCAGGAAATTGTAATTCAAACGCAAAATTCTCCTTTTGAAAAGGATTACTCGATGACCATTTCCTCGGTTCAGACACTCTTGATTGTGTGTTGTTTCCGGAATTAAAAGCAGCTCTTTCATACTGTTGTGATGATTTGGGTACCAAATAGCCACTCTCGTCCTCAGAAGTAGCTGGATTAAATGGATTCCAGATCAAACCATCTGTCACTGAAGTAAATGGATTCATGGCAGCATCGTCACTCACATGTTGCAAGGTTCCTTCCTTAGGTGAAAAGGTGAAAAATTCAGAGGGTTGCTGAACATTTTTACTCTCTGAATCGACGGCATTAAAAGGGGATTTGAACAAATCATCTTTGAAAAACATATCAAGATTTATCATGAATGATTCACGGCTCGATGTATCTTGGATTTGTTTCTTTTCTGACTTGGCGACATTTATCGACTGAAAAAGTTCCGGATTTCTACTATCCAATTTCCTCGAGTTTTCGGAACATTTGGAACTGATTGGTGTCGATTCTCCAGCTTCTAGCTCGTCCTCAAATGTAATAAGATCGATCGAAACTCTTTGTGCATTGGTTTGGCCTGCCCGACTGAAATGTATGAAAGATATAATAATCAATACAATACAATTTATTATCACACTCATGGTGATATCACACGGAACAAAGCATTATTTTTTATTAATTAAAACTAAAATAGAAAACGTTTTTTTTTTTTTAAACCGAAGTAGTCTTCTCAATGTCAGTCACGCGATACACCATTGCTATTGCTTGAGTTGGCAGACAGTGAATGAAGAGTTTTAAACTTTCCCTCCAACCCCTACCCAACCCCACCCTTTGTATACTACCATTTTGTAATTTCTTAAAGAATTATATTTCATATATGGTGGGTTTAAGTTGTTGTTTATTTCCAGTCATTAAATTGTTGTTGTTTTTGTTTAACGATCGAATATCCTTCAGATACATGTATAAGAATCACTAAATACACGTAGCAAGGCAGGGCCTGTTAAAAATAATATAAAGGCGATACAGAAACGGGAACACAGAACACATTTTTTACTTACAGACATTGCCAATCTAGAAAAACACCATTGGTATTGGGACTTTCAGCCAAAGGAATTAAACGTGTTTGTCTAAAGTGTTCCAAAACAAAGGAAGAATACAGCTGAAAGGGAAAGGTGCCTATATAATCCCGTTATCAATTTACACCTTATTGGTAACAACGTATATTGGAACTCAAAGTAGTGTTTCATTTAAACTGAGTCAGAATATACTCAAACTACAAGGTAACGGCATGCGCCGTCAAAATGAATGCCGATCCTTATACATTTTATCAGCATTTACATACCTGCACTTTAATACATCCTCTTCATACAGAACGTCTCGAATCGTTACTTGATTGGTTATTTTCTTTTTTGGTGGAACTAGAGGTGGAATATCTGGGAATATTAGAGTACCCTTGTAATCCCAGTCACTACGATCCGGGGACTTCGGATCAATTTTCTTTCTTGGTGGAACAGGAGGTGGACTATCTTGGAGTATTAGAGTACTTTTGGAATCCCAGTCACTACGATCCGGGGACTTGGGATCAAACATGTCGAGGGAGATTAGTTTCCTACGGTATGTGAGTAATCCTCTCTTGATATTAATCACAAAATGTTAGCTAGCACTTCCTGATGAAATATATCCTTCTGGACAATGGATACTCTTCGTGTAGAAACCGAGGATCAAGTATAAATTGGAAATGTTGATCTTAGACATAAGGTCGAGCATTTACAGAAAATTCAATGGTTCTTCGAAAATGTCACCGGTCGAAAGATAAAGAAAAACACGAACTACATATTGGTCTGCCTCTTCAGTGTTCAGCTCTGCCGAAGTTTACAATAATTTGATGTATATAATAAATATATCATATTATACACATACGAACTGAGGCGACAAAGGGACGGAAACAGGTTTTACTGACAGACTAAACCTAACTGTGGTTTTACGCGTATCAATATTTCTATTACTTTCTATTTCCTTGTCTGTTAACTGGTGTACACTTACTCATATTTTCATTAAGTATGGTAATTCCCTCCCTTATCTTTCTTATATTGGGAATGCCATTTATCAGTGAATATCAGTCACTGCTATTTACTGTGAATGAAAACCTTACACGAGCACTATTTGCAAACTATAGGAAAGATCGATGCCATACATTGTCAAGGTACATGAATGTGAAATTTTAACAAATATTGCAAACATTATTTTTCTGTTCTATTTTAAAATGACTTTGTGATGGATACTGATCCGTGACAAAAAAGCAAGCATTATATAAAGGATCTAACATGAGTTTCCATTTCATATGAGATTTATGAAAAGTGTCTAAAAAAATCAATTAAGCGAGCCTCTGGCGAGCTAAAATGGAAAAATCGTGACGAGTTTCATCAATTACATATTACATGTAAATGAAAACGAGTGTAAGATAATTTAATATGAAATTTGAAGAGTTTTTGACAAGAGTATATTCACTGGATAACACAGTACATTATGTGATAAAACAATTTATAAAAAATATATATAAATAAATGTCTTGAGAAAACTAAGCACGAATTCATAGTACACATAGAGATAAAGAATATATATTTAGAACGTTAAAATTTCGTGGCAATTTCCGCACTTAAGTAGGATATCTTTCAAAACGAGGTGATGACTCAAATGATGGAATCAGTGATCAGGATCATCTACATGTTTAACATGTGTTTACAATGTTAGACCTTTGATCCGGACTCATTGGGAAAGTAGCTTTGAGCTTAGTTAGCTAAAGAGGTCTATTCTCTCTTTATCGTCTGATGGTTATAAGTTTCAGTATTTATATCAATTTATAAACTTAAACAATTAATGATAATTTCTATACGCATGTCTTCATCAGATAGAATCTTATTGGAATTTTAACAACTGAGTTTAGGGCAACAGGTCCATTATAGATATACGTTATGCTTGAAAGCATTATCCATTTGCAAGGGAAAGAAGGATTTGAAAATGATTTTTTTTTTTTGAAGGAATTATAACAAATGATTGTGCAATTTGATATATGTCCTGCTTTCTATTCTAGATCAATTAAAATTGTCGTCAGAGTCAGAAAGTCTGCCGCATAGGAATGTTCTAGAAAAAAGGAAGTTATGTTACGTCGCCTAATAATTAAACGGATACTATAACATGACTGTAAACAATACACGAATAAGCACTTGCATTCCGCACTGAAACAGACACTCAAAATTAATTTCTTGCATTGTGATAAATTGTTTGAAAATATAATTTTATAACTTAATATATAAATTCATATTACCGAAAATAATTGATATCTGTCTCCAAAATCTTAATGCTTTTAATTGATCTAGAATAGCAAGCAGGACGCATGTCAAATAATACAATCATTTTATTGTCCAGAGACCTTCATCACTTTATGTTATATTATGTATTTAGGAATCTGTCATATTTAACAACTAATTATAAACGTCTAAAAAATTCACATAAGCGTATATTGGTACGGTTTTATGATGTATGGGCATCTATATGCTTAAAGTGAAGACATAAGACTTAAAAACTTAACCTTTGAAGATCAATGTTAATTCGATAAAAATATCAATTTCAGATGTAATATTGCTAACGCCATTATAACTGGATTTAACCATGCATTTGTTGGCAAATGAAAACATCAAAGTTCCAAATTATTTACGAAGTTGACAATATGTTTCTATTCATTTTATTTTTCTATCTTAAATATCACTTTGCCGTATTCTGATTATCAAGAATATTCCATAAAGTCTACATTTTGTTTTTCATGTATACATATTATAAAGTATAAGTGAAACGTGTCATTGCGATCCTCTATCTATCTATAATCGAGGCTGTTCATGTACATTTATATCCAACGGCGTATGTGTATAAGGAAGTATTTACTTCTCATATCTGGAATTAACAAACAACAACAGTTAAATTATTTCCCTTGTTTATTTTCCTTCGTAACATATACACATATACACTGATGTAGGTTTTATGATCAAGAGTATATGAATTAGTTACATGCCACTCTTTCAATAAACATACTGTTACAACTTTAATAATGCCGATTTATGTATATTTCTTACATGTTTTTTGTCAATTATCGGCTTCTTCATGATTCAATGTTTGAATACTCCAAATTAATTGCTCAGTATTACCAGTAATATCATTACATGTAGCACTTATGTAATCTGATATTTTCTTTTCAGTTTCCAGAACGCCATCTTTTTTGGAAATATACGATTATGTTCGCTATAGATCTTTATTATACAAAAATATCCACCACGTCATGCATATTTCTAACACTGTTGATGATATGAAACCTTTTTTCTTACAACAAGTCTACATGATAAAGTTCGTTTGAAATATATATAAAATGCATATCATATACAGTATCATTGATTTAATTTCTAAACCCAATTTCTTACCAAGATTTGGTTTAATGCATTGAAGAAATGAACATCGTTTTGACGGCGTATACGGTAATATTAACGAAGTTGGCAACGGACATATTATATGGTGCACGTTAGCACTAAATAAAGAATATGTTCATTAATAGCTGCGTTTATACTACCGTATACGCCGGCAAAATGAAGGTCAATCATTAAGAAAGTGTGTTAATGATTCAATATAGTTCCAATGAATCCTCATCGATATATGAGTGAACAGTATTTTTTTCCTTTCATGTTTTTTTTTTTTTAAATTAAGCAATGTGAGAAGCTCTTCGAACTAATCTGTTTATTTTCAATGGTCGTCATGTACGCGCAGTGATACACTGATCATGGAGTGACGCTGTCGAATGTTTCAGAACAAAGCCGCCATTGTTGACGTTACCGCCAAAAAAATATGAGAATGTGCATCCTTGGAATAATAAGTTTGTCAGCATTATTTCGTTGTATAGTTACACCTAATGGATTCCGAATATGTTCTCTGTATCTAGATGGTGCCATTGGACTGTTATCTCTCTGAAGCGTGTACGGCGTCATATTTGAAACAAATATCAATCCGCCGAGACTTTTTTTCTCTGCGTTTACGAAAAATTAAACGCAGTTAGAGTTTACTAAGCTGAACAAGGGAGAGATGTAAATAAACAATATTATAGATTAGTGTATAAATAAACAAGTATGAGTACACTATTCCGTAAAACCAAATAAGCATCACAGTATATGAATATACCACAGGGCGTCACTTTTGCCTGTCTATTTAGTCCCTCACCTGCCCCTAATACGTTTTTTACCTGGCAAAAGATGTTCTATCTGTAAGCAGGATTCTATTTATGTTGTCAACACAATCACATAATAGTAGACTTGCATCCAACATTGTTCGTCGCCTATACAGTACCATAAAAGATTAGTAGCATGATGTGCGGCTGCTTAATCTGCCCAAAAATCTGCCCTTATATTTACACTAATTGAGCGAACAACTTTTGTCACTGTTTTCCAGTAAAAAGAAATCTGACATTTTTCGCACCTTATTACTAGTATACGAGCTAAACGAGTGTGATGACATTTCCAGATGCTAGAACTATCTGCCCCTCCGTATTCATTGAAGCCGTTTCAACTGTACGTTTTACTAAACGTTCATACTTAGTTGATGTCGATGTCTCCTCGAAGGTTCCTAGGTATTCTCCTAGTCGTGTGATTGACAGTGTTCCAGCTCCTCCTTGAACAACGTAGAACGAGCTAACGGAGTTACTTGTAAGAGCATGTATATGCCACAGTGGCACTCCTCCTAGTAAAGGAAACGTCTGCAACATATTTCCCCCTTTATCCAAAACAAACAGACATCTCAAACCGAAATCTGACACTAATATAAATCCATTCATGTTAATGATTACCTTTACTGGGTATCCAAAATGATTTCTTTTGTTCACAATTTGTCCGGCTTTGTTGGGGATTTCGCCTTGAAATCGCATCAGACAACTGTTCTTTGAAGGACCTGGCATAGAATACCCCTCAGCCGTAGACGCCATACAGACTACCAGGGTGCCGTCGTCCGGTGATACAGCAACTCCGCGTGGATACAATTTGATGAAAGAGTGCAGAACTGTCAACTAAAAGAAAGGAAATAAACAATGGACAGCGAGATACAAAAAACATAATTAACATCTGCAAGGAAACAGTGGCGTTTTATCTTTGCTCTTACACAATTCATTGGCCCCCTTTTGTATGCAGTTTATATATGCTTGAGTGTCATCACGAAAGGAAACAATAGCTTGCAGGTTTTACTCTAGCTATACAAAATTAGTTTCAAAGACATACTTGATTTAAGTTGCAAACAATTGGCATTTGAAGGCGGGTGCTTAAGGCAGGTTTGACTTTAAGTTATAGGCATGCTATAGATACAGACAGGTGATGTTTACAAACTCGAAAATACCAGGAAGCTATTATTAACAGCCAATGCAGACTGTTGAGAGGTGATGATCTCGTATCAGACACCATCCTAAATGATATGTTAGTTTTGAACAATACTTTTACTGCATTTTTGTTTTTCTTAAAATCGAACAGAATGTTTACATGTAGGCTTCACTTAAATTTGATATGTAAACTCCTTCTACACTGCAACAATTCAAACGAAAGTCAGAAGTTCATTAATATAAACTGAGATATGCACATTCAATCGAGTCCCTTCCTGTTTTCATTAAAGATCGTATTACTATAATGCACTACAATAACTCTCTGGTACTTGCAATGACGAAAGTTCAAAGTTATTGCGATATTTTTTCATATTCACGAGTGGCAGGCCTAAACGATCACGACTATGTCACTCCTCGCGTATCTAGTAATGTTGTTATCTGTTCCGTTTGTTACAACATCAACATAATTACTGCAAACGGGAAATTATCGCGGTTAGAAAATGTTCGGGTTTAATAAATAAACACGAAAAATATACACACTCAAATAAATACACAGATTATTTCACTAAACATCAAATACTGTCAAAATATTACAACAAAAAGAGAAGATATGTGTTCCTGAAAGTTAAATGGATTAGAGGCGAGGGAAGGTGGCCACTAATTTAACTGAAGTTGAGCATGTTATCTACGGTAAACAGTTTATTTTTTAATATGTAGGTAGCCTTTTACATACATTTTTAAGCTAAACGCCACATGCGTCTCTTGTCACGATGTGTTTATCAAAACTTTGACATAAACTAATCTCATCTGCTATTTATCAATTAATTACTTTTGTTCAGATAAACATGCGATTATAAGAACCTGAGAAAAGGATATTAGCCGTGACGAAGTCACGTAAATATCACTTTTCATGTTCATGTAACACAAATGTTCTTAAACAAAAGTCCCTGAATGTTGTATAGGATATGACATTATTATGATTGTATCATTTAACAAGATGGACCATAGCCAACTCTAAAAAAGAAAATTAACTATAGACTATATATAGATTAAGAACGTGAATGCAAATGTGTACAGTGTGATATGAAATTAGACCAAGGAAGATTCTAACATATACATGTATTTTATTGTGGAAAGATCCAATTATATTGATATTTCAAATTCTATATTGCTAATCATTTTCTATTTATATGTTTTCATGCATATACAAAATAGTCATAACAAAATAATTATATATTATTGCTTCATGAAGAGATCAGATCATTCTGCAATATCCTACAAAATACTGAGAGCTTTTACATAGATACGTCATATTAGGAATAATAAGAGAATAAATGAAAGGCAGAAGTCTAGAATTTAAATTACCAGGATATAGGAACAAAATGTTCATGCAACCTAGACAAGCATTTACAAAACTTTGGATCGTACATTTATCATTTGAAAAAGTGGTATTTTAAGTCTTTCGACGCATACCTGAAGGTTTGATGACAACATGCAAATCTTCTTCTGATAAGGACAAGAGACATAGAGGACTCCGGTGGAAGACACCGCCAGACTATCCACCCGGCCAGGTGTATCAAACTGGTACACTCTCTCGTATTTATTGTCGTACAAAGAAACCCATGAACACTGTTTGAAGGAAACATAGATGAAACCTCCTTGTGTTGTCGCCAACCTTTCAACATGTCCACACGGTCTTTCACAGGGACATGAGAGCTCCGCCCGGGCGTCTTCTTTGATTGAAAGTTTTTGAGATGTTCCATCCGAATTGTCTTTATCGCGTTTAGTTATTCTTCCACACAGCTTGGTGGGCTTGGTTTTGATATTTTCAAAGCTTGATGATGCTCCCATACTAGGTGGATCATGTTTTGTTGTACTAGATCCGACCTTTTTTGTCCATCTGTTGATATTGTCTATGCTCGCGGTTTTTTTCATGTCATGATTATCACTTTGGACTACAATCCCTTCTTTAGGGATATCTTGACCTACCATGTTGTCTTCAAAATCCAACGAAATATAGATATCGCTATCGCTCAATGATCGCTGAGAGGAAAACTTAGGACGATGTATGTTTGATATTTTCAGAGTTTCGGTTGAACTTATATCTTTCTGAAGCTGTTCTATTTGGTTCACTTCTTGTTCCAGTTCTCTGAGCTTTTTTAAATACACGTAATGTTGTCTAGGTGTCGGCGTGTCCCAAATATCATCTGTTTCTTCAGATTCAGTGTCACTATCCTGAACGTTTTCTACTGTGAGTTTTGGATTCATATGGTCTAATGTATACAAACTGTTTTCTCCGAAGCAGTCTGTCAAAATCAACCTCGACCTTTTAAATCTTGCCGAGTCCGACTTCATTTTGTTAGGTTTCGACGACTGTGACGGTGTATTCGTGAGGTGTGTGATGGATTTCTTAGAATCTACCACTTCCAAACCATCACTTTTGTTTTGTTTTTCTCCCGGCAGTGTTGGTAAATCGACACTGTTTGCAGATTTTACGGCCTCAATACCTTTGATACATGTACTAAAAGCAGGTGTATAAAGTCTGGGTCTTGTTTCTGAATCCAAGTCAGAAGATTTCTTGAACAAATCGCCAATAAAATACTTGTCAAGGCTGTCGGACATGTTTGTTTCTAATCCACAGTAAGTCTTGTGGTGTGTTTCGTTGGTTTCAGAATTGCCACTTAGGTTTAAAAGGGTACATTCTGGAATGATGTTATCGAATGTATTTTCAGTAGAGACATCCCAGCTTGCTGCTAATTTATTTGTGTCTTCATTGTCGTTTGGAAAGGTCATTAAGTTTACGGTTTTTGGCAGTCTATATGGAAAACAAACACAAAATATGAATCAGCAACATACTACATAAATTATGTCTACAGAATATGTCTATTGCAGTTCAAATCATATCTAAATCCTCAATTAAATATAAAAATTCATATGTACAATTCGGAAACGAGACCTTGTATTTTTGGTTATTATGTATTGTTTTAAGCATACGTTAATAAAGGTTATCATGTTTATGAACGTAATGTAAACGTTATAAAATGTCTATAATTTTTTAAGGAAAAAGAGTGCTAACAGAATTAGAGAAGAAGAATAGTTTCCCCTTACAATCAATTTTAAGAGTCGTTTTCTGAATTATTGAATAGTAAAAAAGAAACCTATCGTACATTATATATAAAGTTGTATTGGTCGTTTGCAATAGTGATCCGTAAATTGAACCTTAACTTTTAACTTCACCACAATATATTTCATAACTTATCGATGATGAATATCACTATACATTTGTCTTTTCCTGTACTTAAGGCATTTATTTCTACGTAATACCACATTCTCCAAAACACTATTTAATACACAAAACTATTTTATACAATTTATTTCTATATATTACTGCACTATTGTGAGCGAACAGTCTCGTATGGATTCGTTGTGTGTCGTTTTTTGTGGGGTTTTTAATATGTTGTGTTTACTATGAGAATGAAGCGAAGCGCAAGGGACACTTGTAGGAGATTGGTTTTCCATACCCTTATATAGTTCATTATATACAGTAAAACACCTTTTGAAGCACAGAAAATATATCGAATTCGTACTCCAAAGTGACACCCGTTTATAACTCTACAGGACCGTGAATTATTTTTCTACAGTGAACACACATTAACACTGTTCTCCAGAGTAAAATGCTTTTGCAACGAACGTCCAGGGATTAACGAAATTAGTTTTCTACAGCTGAACACATTGATAGCAAACCTTATTGGGCCTATCCAACTCTTTTTCCACACATTCCCCTTTTTAATTTCAAATTGACTTCTTTTCAAGCACGATTTCGTACATGTAATAAGTGTGCTCAAACGATGTGGTTCGTACTTAACAATAACTCGCAATGGAATGCTCCAGTATTCCTAAAAGGTACCACACTTACAAGTATGTGACACGTTTAGAAAGATGCGTCTTCAATGAATCCTCAAACATTTACTCTTACATATTTTGTATATTCGTTCGTTGCTTATTTAAAATAGTAGTATACTTTTGATTAATAAAACAATTGACATACCTGGGATTTGATTTTCTATTTCGATGTTGTTCTTCAGTAAGTTTCACTTGAGTTTTCAATGGTTTTCTTGGAGGAAGTGGTGGTGGTTGGTTCGAAACATCATCAAGTAGGTCAGCATTGATATCCTGTATACCATCTTGTCTGGGGATAGCCATGTGTGGCGTTGAGTGGTTGAATATAATCACAAACATAAACTGATGTTCACTTCCGCCAGTTTGCCATTGTAATACGATTTCTCCTGAAACGTCACTGCTACTTAGACATTATATTATCCTACCAAACTCCATATAATATTAATA